TATTTTCTGGTTTTTCGAGACAGGGTTTTGCTGTGGTTTTGGAGCCTGTCCTGGAACTAGCTCTTGTAGACCAGGCTGGTCTCGAACTCACAGAGATCCGCCTGCCTCTGCCTCCCGAGTGCTGGGATTAAAGGCGTGCGCCACCACCGCCCGGCAAGACAAGGTTTCTTTGTAGCTTTTAAGCCTGTCCTGGGACTCACTCTGTAGATCAGGCTGGCCTCAAACTCAGAGATCTGCCCACCTTTGCCTCCCAAGTGCTGGGATTAAAGGTGTGGGCTACCACAGCCCGGCCAACTTTCTTTTCTTTGAGACAGGTCTCTCTATTCTGAAAGTCTTGTGAGAAGACTACCAGGAGATGCAAGCCGTTTAGTGACCCCAGAGCTTACTCGTGTGATTCAGTCCCAATTTCCCTCGCTCTTCCACCTGGCCTGCAAAATATACACTTGGGAAAAATCTTCCCAACACCGAACCGTGGAGTCCTCTGAAACTCATTATTTCTCTGAAGTAGTCTTGGCTGTCCCGGAGTTGGCTGTGTAGACCCAGGCTGGCCTTGAACTCACAGAGACACTCCTGCTTTTTGCCTCCCTCGCGCTAGGTTAAAGGTATTGGCCACCGTGGCCCGTGCTTTCGCGTTTCAGGACTGAGTTGTTAAGGTTGCATGGCTAATATTTTTCGTTTTTTTTTTTTAAATTATTTAATTTATTGAGTGCTCTGTGTGCCGGGAGAGGACATCAGATACCGTTGTAGATAATCATGAGCCACCACGTGGGTGCTGGGAATTGAACTCAGGACTTCTGGAAGAGTAGCCAGTGTTCATAACCGCTGAGCCATCTCTCCAGCCCTATGTTTAGTGTGGTTAGTGCTTTTATCCACTAACCATTTCCCTGGCCCCCGTATATGTCTTTATTCAATTAAATTCTTTTTTTTTTTTTTTTAGTTCTGGTTGTGTCAGTGTGCTTCTACATAGGGGATATGTAGACGTAAATCGTGAATGCAGGCGCCTGTGGAAGCCAGAGGCATCTTTTTCCCTGGAGCTGGAGTTATGACACGGGTGCTGGGAACGAACTTACAGAACCGCGGAGCAATCACTCCCTCCCTCTTCCCATATGCCAGCCGCCCATATCCATAAAAGGCGCACACCCAAGCCCCGCCCCTCGCGTTAAGCTTCCTCCCAAAGAAGGGCGGAAGTAGCGGCGCTTGTAAGTGACGGCAGCCCTTTCCCCGCCCTCCTCAGCGTTGGCCCCGCCCGCTCCGTTTCCCGAATTTTGCTAAAGGCTTTTACTTCGGCACCTCTTACAGGCCACCTACCCCCGCCACGAAAGGAGTGCCCCCAGGACCCTGACGGTGGCCTAGGAGAACACAGCCACTGAAGCGGAGGCCTGAGAATTATGTTTCGTGTAATTCCCGCGCGCGTTCTCACGGCCCCATGGGAACGCGGAGGCGGGGATAGATGAGACGCGTGGCGTCACCGCTTAGCTAAGCTCCACCTCTAGCTGCGTCTTCTAATTGCGTTTTTTCCGGTCGGAGCGTTCTCTTCGCCTTTCCTTCGCCATCGTGCGCCACCTGCCCGCCCAGCCTTCTCGCCATGGTAAGATTATCGGCTGCCATCCCCTTTCTAGGCAGCTTCCCTGAGACCGCAGGCTGCCATGACTTTACGATGGGATTGCACAGCATCGAGGGGCGGGTGCATTTTCAGCTTTGGGAGCTTTTTTTTTGTGGGAGTTAGTTTGGCCATTGCTCGGATCGTGGACGCATCATAAAATTAGCAAGCCCATTTCTCCCCACAGTGTCGGGCTGTTCACCGTGCAGTCTGGCGAGCAGTTCAGTGTTCTTGCTTCGCTTAGCTTCGAGCCGACGATTCTGGGCAAAAGGAGAGGGTTGATTGCGGCTGATTGAACGCTAGCCTTGCCTTGGCGTGCACAGAGAGCACAGGTCAGAGTGGGGGCTTGCGCAGGCAGCTGTCCGCGGTAAGGGTTAATGGGACTTAAAACGAGAGCCTTCGGAAGCTCTGCATCACTCCGTGGAAGTGTCTGCTAACAGCACACCAGTCGTTGCCTACTGATAAGTTGTTTATTGGCGTCTCGGTTCAAAGTGGGATTCGTAGCTGCGTTTATTCAGGAAAATCTAGAACTTTTACAGTGGTTCAGGAGAAGTGCACACTGCCTTTTCAATGCCTACTGAGCAGCGAGTGCTGCATAATCGAGATTACTGGGCCAGCGTTCCTTGAAAGTAGAGAATATTGTTTTCAAAAGTAGAGCGCCTAGACTTACCGATTTAAATGATTGGGCGGGATTGACCCAACGCCATCTTAGTTGCAGTAAATTAGTTCCCCCTACCTTAGCTATTCTGTTTGTCATCTGAAGCACCGCAGGATAAACAGTAAATTAGCACGATTTTCGAGCATGGTCTTAAAACCCGGCGCTGTAGCTGGACGGTGGTGGCGCACACCTTTAATCCCAGCATTTGGGAGGCAGAGATAGGCAGATCTCTATGAGTTCGAGGCCAGTGAGTTCCAGAACAGGCTCTAAAGCTAGAGAAGCCCTGTCTCGAAAAATCAAAAAAAAAAAAAAAAACCCTGACTCTAATTAATCACTCTGGATCTAAGACAGTTGAGTTTAAGCCATGAACTCTGACTTGAGGGAAATAATGAGGTTCAGAGGACTATACGGTTCGGTGTTGGAGAGATTTCCCCGGTGTATATTTTTCGCAGGCCAGGTGGTAGAGCGAGGGAAATTGGGACTGAATCACGAGTAAGCTCTGGGGTCACTAAACTGTATCTCCTCGTAGTCTTCTCACAAGACTTTCAGAATCAAGCGATTCCTGGCTAAGAAACAAAAGCAAAATCGTCCTATTCCTCAGTGGATTCGGATGAAAACTGGCAACAAAATCAGGTAAAGCCCCTACTGCCCTGCTTGCGGGTCTCCAGCTCTTACATGATTTGGGGTGTGTGGATTCGTAGTTGGAAGATAACACGCTGGGACAGCTGTTCTCTGCTTACCATGCTGCGGCTCCTTTTGTGTGTGTGGGGGGGGGTGCGCTGTTACAATTTAGAAAAAGCGGCACACGAGAGAAAGATGCTCTGAGTGCACACAGGTGGTGCTCTTAGCGACTACGGGCTGAAGACGCGAATTCCAAGGTCGGGCCAATACGGACCTGAATACTAAGGTGCACGTGGCTGGGGCCGGCTTTCAGGGATCACTTTTCCATTCACCACGTGGATCCTGGGAATCCAAGGAAGTGGCTTTGCCTACTTAACCTCATAGAGAGCCCCAGAAATCCCTCCCACAAACCTTTTGTAAATGTTTGGTTGGTTTCTGCAGTCACAGCTAGGCTTTGGGGGCAGGTGTTTCCCAGTTCCTTGCTAATTTCCCTATGAAAGCTTGAGGAGATTGACTTTCCTGGTGGGAAATCTTTGAATTGGCAGCTTCAGAAGAACTGAGGGCCCCACAGGCAAGGGAAGTGCCTTACTTAGTGAGTTCAGTCTGAAGCTTTGGAGGGAGGAGAAATAGGCATGCGAAGTCCTGACAGTTTGCCAGGCAGCCAGCAACAATTTGGATAGTTCATGTGTATTTCTTTAATCATTTGTGTGGGGGGTGCATGCCGGCATGTGGTCAGAGGCTGGTTTGTGGGAGTTGGTCCTCTTTGACCACGTGGGTTCTAGCGACTGAATTCAGTTCTTCAACCTTGCTGGTGAGCACTTTTCCAAGCTATCTTGCCTGGCTACTGGTTTGGTGGGTTGTGCTCAGACAGGGTCTCCATAGTCCAGACTGCCTGTGGTTCTGCTAAATTGAGGGTTTATATTCTCAGTTAATTTAGCCACTTGAACTTGGAAGTCAGCTCCCCACTCTGGCCTTACACTCTAGTTAATAGATATCTTCTCTCTACTGGTATGGTAGGCGCTGCCTTTTTCAAGTGCTGAGATTACAGGTGTGAGCCAACACATACTGGAAATGCATGAGCCTGTTTCCTGGAGCCCTGGCTGATGAGAGCAGGAACTGCTAGTTGATATGTGGTTTAGCTATATGTCCTAGAGTTGTGAATGGTGTTTTGTTGGGTGGATTATATATGCCCTAACCCACAGAGTTCTCTATTTCTGGCCCACGTTTATGGATGCTATGGGTTTGAGTGAGGGCCGCCTGCATGCTCTACTCGGCAAGTTCTCTGCATGGGACCGTAACCCCCAGCCCCTCTCCCAGCTTTGACCATTTAAAGCAGGTCGCAATTGCAGTGCTTCATCTTGTGGGGGTGCCGCCATTACCCTGCTGAAAGAAAAGCCGTGCTGACTGCTTCTGATTTTACCTTACTGGGGGCAAAATCGTGACACGTTGGCACGAACAGCAAATTAGGTGCAATTTGGGAGATGCTTTCTCTTACCTGAATGAGTTCTGGGGGTGAATTCTGGCTGCCAGGTTTGCATGGTAGCCGCGTTTCCCCCAAGGAGCCATCTTGTTAGCCTTTGCAGGAGCCTTTGTGTATGGTCCATAGGAAGGGGTTCAACTGTCTGCATCTACCCTTACTTATCTGACCCTGCACCACAATGTGGGTATTGGACCTGGCATTTCCCCAATGCTTGGTTTAAGGCAGGGTCTCAGTAGATTGCCTGCCCTTGCACTCAGTTGTCCAGCCCATATGGGCTTTGGATTTTCAACCCTCCTACCTCGGCGTCTAGAGAGAAGGTAGGGTTGGCAAAGCTTGTTCCGCTTTGAATCCTCTTGGTTTGATTTGACGGTTTTTGTAGTCCAGGCAGGAATTAAAGGGGTGTCGCCACTGTGTCCTGCCCCCTTTTTTTAAACTGGGTTGCCCCAGCCCATCAATTCTTGACATGTTGACTAAACCCAGGGCCCTGCACTCATGTAACATTTATTTTGGAGATGGTCTTGGCTGTGTAGGCCTGGCTGGCCTGGAACTCTCTAGGAAGCTCCTTATTAAATTATCCTATTCCCTAAAAGGCCAAATCTGCTAAATATGAGCAGCTATATTATGACCGCATCACCTTGTAACTCGTGTCTTCATTCTTGGCAGGTACAACTCCAAGAGAAGACACTGGAGTAGAACGAAGCTGGGTCTGTAAGGAGTCAACAATGAATGGCAAAACAATTAATGATGAATCGTGATTCTTGATGAGTGTTACAAGATGAAGTTCAACATTTTCAATCTGGAGACTTAATCATGTTTAAGTTGGGAGTGGTTTCTCCAGTAATAAAATGTAGAACCTTTTGAACTGCTGTTCTGGTTTGTAGAGTTCTGAATTTCCCTTTGCCCTGCCAGACCTAATAAGATAAGCTTCTGCGGTGCACGTGGAGAGTTGTTCCCTGGGAGCTAAAGAGGCCGAGGACTGATGCTCTTGTAGGAGTCCTGGATCTGGAGCCTAGCACCCACAGCTCACACTATTATATTACACCAGCTTCAGGGTGAGCCCCTCTGTGGGCGCTGCTGACTTGACGCGTATGTAGGCAAGTAACTATGCACATAAGTTACCGTGCATCTTGGTTAACATTGTGACTGTTCACACATGTATGACCCATAGTGTGGAGGTAGGTCAGAGGATAACTTCACAGTTGTCTTTAACTTGTAAGTATGTTCCAGGTTTTGGATTCAGGTAGCCAGGTTTGCGTAGCAGGGGCTTTACCAACAGCCATCTCAATAGGCCCCCACTTGTATATAGTATGCTTTACTTACTTAGGCTTGAGATGGAGCCCAGGGTCTCATGTAGGCACCCACTCTTCTGCATCCCCAGCCCTCTAGCAGCGGTTCTCAGCCTGTGGTTGAGCCACTCTTTGACAGGGTCTCACATATCAGATACTTACATGGCATTACGAATCACAATAGTAAAATTAGTTATGAAGTAGCAATGAAAGTAATTTTATTGTTGGGGATCATGTGAATTGTGTTAAGAGGTTTATACCATTGGGGAGGTTAAGAACCGCTGCTCTTTTAATATTAGATTTATGTGCCTGAATGTACTACAAATGGTTGCGAGCCACATTGTGGGTGCAGAGAGTTGAAACCAGGTCCCTCTAAGAAATAGTTGGTGCTCACTGCTGAGCCATCTCTTCCAGATCCTGTCAGCTAATTTTTTGTGCTTGATGGGGATCCTAGAAGCTGCAGCCTGCTATCTATCCTCTCACAAGATAGCCCAGACTGGCCATGGTCCACCTAGGTGGTGGGATCACAGGTCCACAAAGCCTTCCTTTATCAGGGTCTCTTAACTGCTTCCGCCTCTCAAATGCCAATCCCAGGCTTCTGCATTTATAAGCATTTGAAAGCCATGGAAAGGATCTCTGAAAATTCAAATTTGTGTATCTAAAATCATTTGAATTTACATTTATTTGAAGGTGTGTAGTATATGGGGGTCCAAACAACTTGAAGTGAGTTTTCTACCCTGTGGATACCAGAGGTCCAATTTAGGGGGACAGCAGGCCAGTTCTGAGCCCCTTAAGTGGATCTATCTGAAGGGTAGATTGGCCAGCAAAAGTGTGAGGTTTTTATAAATGAACCAACTTCTGCTGGGTTCAAGTTCATGTTTGCTTAGAGGTGCTTATTCTTGAGATCGCCTTACTTACACAGCTGCCAGTAAAATACCTGGTGGTTGTGGTGGCAGTGTTTTTGGTGGGGATTATTTTGTTTTTTGAGACCTAGAAACTCCAGATCTTTGGCTCATGTCTCTCTTAACTCAATCAACATGGGGCTAGGGTGTAGATAGAACACTGGCCTAGCACGTGTGTAGTCCTGGGTTCTCTCTAGCACAGCAAAAACAATCCTCAAGGCTGTCATGAATGGCAGTTCTTTTAAATCCACAGCAGAGAGAATTATGGTAGTCACATGAAAAATTTTTAAGCAATCTGATTTATGTAAATTTTCAGGGTTAGAGAGATGGCTCATTGCTTAAGAACACTTTGAAGGACCAGTTTGGCTCCCAGCACCCACATCAGGTGCCACACAACCATCTGTAACTAGCTCTAGAGGATCCAGTGACCCCAGCCTTTCAGGGTACCTACAAGTTATGTGCAGACACACAAATAGATAATTTAAAGATATTACGCATTATTTATAGCTAGGTATAGTGGTACATGCCTTTAAGCTCAGCATTCCAGTACATGTGTGTGTCCAATTCAAGACCAGCCTATATAGATCTGCCTCTATGTAGTCATTTCCAGGACAGCCAGCACTACAAAAACAAACAAACAAAAAGAAACTAATAATCACTATTTAAAAAATTTTTTTCAGTGGAAGTTGGGATAGCATCCTGACAACCTGGGAGGCTTAAGTGACAAGGCCAAGATGACTCTAAAGGTATATCAGCCTTCTCTTGGGACCTTGAATAGGTAGGCTAATAGAAAGGTGATGGGGTGGTACAATACTGCATATCCATTTATCTGGAAAAGGCAGCTGCAGAATAGTAATTGAGAGTTAACTGTGGGTTCAAAACCAGCAGAAAGCCACCGTGGAACAGTGCAAACTGGAGCCTCCCCTGCAGGAGGCAAAAAACTGCTCAAAAGTGCTAGCTTTAGCTGTAGGAGTTTTGTTTATCATGACAGGGTTTCTCTGTAGGCCAGGCTGGCCTCAAACTCTGAGATCTGCCTGGCTCTGACTTCCCAGTGCTGGGATTAAAGGTGTGTGTCAACCACTGCCTAGCAGGAAATTTTTTTTCAGATGGTTTTACTGTGCAGCACTGGCTGGCTTGGAACTCTATATATCAGGATGGCCTCAAGCTCCAAGATTTACCTGCCTCTGCCTTCAGAGTGCAGGAAGTGTGTCACCACACCCAATGGGCTGTAGAATGTCAGGGAGGGAGCAGGGGGTAAACATAGTAGGGTTTTAATTCCCTCCCCTAGCAGGATATGCTACATGCTGGATACAGTATAACAACCCATACCCGAGATTGTGGGAAGCGGGGTGCTGTGATGGGAGCCAGTTCAAGAAATGAGAAGGTGCTGGGCCCTTTCTGTTCCAGGGTTCTAACCCAAAGAAGGCAGGGTGACATGAAAAAAAAATTCCTGGGTCTTGAAGTCAACTGGGCTGGGGTCTCAGCTCCCTCTCTGGAACCGGTTGTGGAAATTTGCCCTCAGGAAACAGAATCCCCTGGGTGTGGTCCCTCAGCTGTGCTCCAAACACCTGAGAGGCTGAGTTAGGGTTGCCAGCAGCTCAAAGGCAGCCTGCCCCAGAAAGTAAGGGCCAGGTCAGTGGGGAGTGGTTGCCCCAGCCCTTGAGTGAAGCCTTGGCTTCAGTCGCCAGCACCACAGAAAGCAGGAGTGGTGGTGCACATCTGTAGTCCCAGCACTTGGGAGGCAGAAGCAGGAAAATCAGAAGTTCAAGGCCAGCCTGAGCTACAGAATGAACAGGTTGGTAAAATTTTTCTACAAATCTATGTAGAATACCAATTCTTTTATTAAAACAATTAAAAATGAAGTTATATGTATGTGTGTGTGCACTATGCATTCCTGGTAAACTCGAGAGACCCAAAAGGAGCGTCAGATCCCCAGAAACTAGAGTTAAAGGTGGGTGTGAGCTGCCTGATGAGGGGGCTGGGAGCTGAACTCATATACTCTGTAAAAGCACCAAGAACTTAATCAGTGAGCCACTCCAGCGCCTACTTTTATTTTTAACTCTGCATATGTGTGTGTCTCTGCGAAAGTGAGTGTGGTGTTCAAGGATAACAGAAGAGGTTAGGCCCAGTGATGGCGCACGCCTTTAATCCCAGCACTGGGGCTGCAGAGGCAGGCGGATCTCTTGAGTTCAAGGTCAGCCTGGTCTACAGAGTAAGTTCCAGGACAGCCAGGGCTACACAGAGAAACCCTTCTTGGATGACATTCTCTTCAGGAATGGGTTATCTAACAAGCATCAAGCCCCTAGCTACGCAATAGTGGAATAGGGAAGCAGCCTCAAGTGTGGTCTGCAAGGGTACCCCACTCAGGACTGCAGGGCTCTGTTTGGGTCTAGGGAAATGAAGTAGTCAACCAAGAAAATTAAACACAGCCCATGAGGGGTGATTTTTGTCCCTGGGGACTTTTGGTTTTTTCGAGACAGGGTTTCTCTGTGGCTTTGGAGCCTGTCCTGGAACTAGCTCTGCAGACCAGGCTGGTCTCGAACTCGCAGAGATCCGCCTGCCTCTGCCTCCCTGAGTGCTAGGATTAAAGGCGTGCACCGCCATCGTCTGGCTTCCTGGGGACTTTTTTTTTCTTTTAAAGTATTTTTTATTTATTTATTAAAGATTTCTGTCTCTTCCCCACCGCCGCCTCCCATTTCCCTCCCCCTCCCCCAAACAAGTCCCCCTCCCTCGCCCTGGGGACTTTTGACAATGTCTGAAGACAGTTCTGGTTGTAACTATGAGGGCAGTTGCCACGAAAAGTGTCCAGCAGGAATGCTTTTGAACATGCTATGGCTTGCAGGGGTCAGTCCCCGGCAACAGAATTATCCTGCCCCAAATACCAACAACAATGCCAGTGCTGAGAAAGGCTGGTCCCACAGCCCTACCCTGCCAGCCAGAGTGAGCTCTGCCAGACAACTCTCACCCCCTGCCTCTTCTCCTTTCACAGTGCTCTTGGGACAAAGCTCATTCTCTGAAATGACTCCAAAGGAGTGGAAGACATCATGTTTCCAACCTCCTCTATTTACTAACCTGGGTCCAGCCACATGGGTCTGCCCCTCACAGTACCTGGTGCCCTTCCCTACTGGGACCTCTGTTCCTCTTTCTAACTCCAGACTGTTCTTCAAGTGGCGGTTTACTGTATATGACCACAGGGAGACCCCCCGAAGTTCCCATCTCCTCCCAGTCCAGGTAGGTTTACCTCTTGAACCAGCTTCTGGCATTTTTAACCTCGCAGCTGTAATTGTAAATTTGCACGTGCGGTTGATTGAGTGATGGCTGCCTTTTTCACCCAATTATGAACTCTGCAGGATAGACAAAAGGGACGGCTTGCACACCGATCTTGGTTTTCACGCAGCAGCAACTAGTAGAAAATGTACTCAGTTGATTGAATAAGCAGCTGAATGAATGAGAGTGTGTGAATAAAGGGATGAGCTTGCAAGTGAGCCATAATATAAAACGTGCACACGAAGATGTATGTGGTACATAATATAAGTTGTGTGCACTGATGCATTTACATAAAGTAGCAATCTCTTTTGTTTCTTTGAGACGAGGTCTTGCTACATCACCCAGCTTTGTGTCAAGGTCTAGGGTCCTCCTGAGTCAGCGCCCTAGTAACAGTAGCTGGTATCACGATGCAACAACACCATGCCTGGTTGGAGTCTATTAATAGTGCAGACGTGATCGTTATTGAGCATATCATTTGCTCAAAATGTATGTATATATATATATATTTTATAACATGATTTAGCTTTCATCTTTTATATTTCCCAGGCTATATAGACATGATGACATTGTGTTTTATTACAAATCATGTGTTTGTGTGTATGAAACATGTGCTGATGCCTGTGGATGCCAGAAGAGAGTGCCAGATCCCTTAGAGCTGTAGTTTGTAAGCCGACTCATATGGATGCTCGGAAAGGAACTTGGGTCCTCTAGAATGTGGATGCTCGGAAAGGACCTTGGGTCCTCTAGAATGTGGATGCTCGGAAAGGATCTTGGGTCCTCTAGAATGTGGATGCTCGGAAAGGAACTTGGGTCCTCTAGAATGTGGATGCTCGGAAAGGAACTTGGGTCCTCTAGAATGTGGATGCTCGGAAAGGAACTTGGGTCCTTTAGAATGTGGATGCTCGGAAAGGAACTTGGGTCCTTTAGAATGTGGATGCTGACAAACAAACCTGGAGCCACAAACATTCTTTTATTTTTATCTTTTTGAGACAGGATCTCTCTATGTGATACTGTTGTCCTGGATCTTGATATATAGAGCAAGTTGGCCTTGAACTCACAGACGTTCTACTGGCTTTGCCTCCTGAGTGATGGAATTAAATATTCACATGACCACACCCTGCTCGTCGAACTCTTGAATTCCAAGCAGCTGTAATTGCTTACTTACAAAGGACTAGCACAAGATTGGGCCTATCCACATTCCATTATAGAGCGGGGATGGAGGGGGGATCGCAAGAGGCCCAATTTCTCCCGGAGTAGTTAAAGGTTGCTGGGGGAAGGACTTTCCTCAGTGGTGTATCCACTGGTGAGTTGCATGTAAGTAACCCTAATTGAACTCATTGAATCACCAATAAAAAAATTAACAAAAGGACACGTAGAAGAGGAAGGGGGTCAGCGGTAATCCAAATGCATCACACAAGTCAGAATGAAATCCATTATCTTGTAGAACTGCTATATGTCAACAGGAAGTTTTTAAAGAGGGTTGGAGAGATGACTTGCCATTTAGAAGACTTACCACTCTTTTCAGAGGATCCAAGTTCAGTTCCCAGCACCCACTGCAGATGGCTCATGACCACCTGCAACTCCAGATCTCAGGGATCCAACACTGTCTTTTGGTTTCAACTGGTGCCTGCATACATTCAATGTGCAGAAAGTCATGCAAATACACACACATGCTCATAATTAAAAATAAACCTTTAAGGAAAAAAGTTGTTTTATGGGACCAAAGGGCAAGATTGAGCTAGGCTTCCTGAAGAAGCATAGGTAGGCCTTTAAGGCCGTTGACAAGTCCAGCAGGGTGCTCACTCTCTTTAGGTCCGTCCCCCCCCGCCTCCCCCCCCCCGCCCAC